GTTTGGCCATCAAAGGAACAGAAAAGGAATTGTCAAAGTACAACAGCTTTTCCCTGGAAGAAATCGAATGCCCTCATGGCTTACATTTTACCGTCAGAGATGCATAAGCCCTTTGCAATCTCGTTGTGGGGTGATAGATAAGAGGTCAAAACCGCTTATAAACACAACCTTCAACAATGTGCAACGGATAGAATAAAAAAGGTAAGACCAGAAAGGATTACGCTTCATGATTTACGAATGAAACACGTGCTAGCCCGAAGGAAAATGCTCGATTAGAAACGTCTCTAGAAGGATGACGCACGAAAGACTCCATAAGATCATTCACATATCTTTGACGAACGACAACGGATTAAGCACTAGTTCAGCAGCATTTAGTGAAGACAGATTAAAAAGCGAGGGCCTGAGGAAGGAGACAGTATGAAGAAGACAAGGATTGGTCTTAGTTCGTTTCGGAGAGAAAACACGGCTCTTCCCAGTCTACTAGGCACTGTAAACTTTATGGGAATCGGTTGCATTTTTTGTCGACATAACAATCAAGTCGGTTAAATCAGTGCTGAGGTTATCCGCTATTGCATCTGCCGATTCCCCTGGATCTGCGCTGCCAGTGTTTTTAACCCTATCTAGTGTGTCGGTAATCGTAGTCGCTAACTTTACTAGAAGTGCCGCTCCCTGATCCCTTGTCATACGCTGTATGAGCGATTCCTCTTGATCCTGTTTTTCTGGGGTGTATATTTGCCTGGGAGACCATTTTTCCATGTCTCTGTACGACGCTCAATGCCTGATCTAGTTGTATTTTATGTAGATACAGTCAGCCCTTCGTAGCGTATTGAGTACTAGCTCTTCCAACGCTTCCTGAAATAGAGTCGAGAGGACCGAAAACAGGTGGGCCTCTATTTGTTGGGTGGTGTCACTGGATATGTGTATGTATTTATGTATATCTGACTGAAAGGAACAAATCGAGGTTATTCTTGCATTGAACTAGGAGAAATAATATGGACTTTCTACATCCCCCCTTATGCCCTGCCGCTTCCTGTTTCTTCCGCTTCCTTGCTTTCCTAACAATATTCTTCTAAGGTATCAGTCTATATTTGTTTGCCCCTCAACTTAAGCTCTGCATACTTCCTGTAATTGCTTCGTGAAAAAAGTGATGTCAGCGTTCTCAACATACACTACCTGCCCAGTCGCTACTAAGGTTTGTCCTTACCAGTGGCTGAGAACTTGTTTCGTTTCCTTCCATATTGTCTCTTTTAATCGCTTTAGTTGTTGGGTAGATGATGGTGTTAGTGAGCGCGACCCATACCTTTCAGTAGCATCAAATCGATTGTAGGAGGAGTGACAGCGGGAGAATAGGAGCAGTTGGAGGAGCAGTTAGATACAATACTATAAAAATGAATCATTGATTGTTCTCCAACTTTGTAACGACTCGCCGGGGTATCAATTAGTCAAGTAATGATAGAGCCGTGTCAATGTTCACGTATGCAGGAGTTCTATCCATCCCCGCAGAAGCAGGGAGTTCCCTGCAATGTCGTCTTCCAGGGCACACCAGATCAGATACCAAAAGCATTCTTTCAGCGAACTTTGTTCTCAAAATCCAGCCCTTATGCCGGCTGTGTCTCTATTAATGATGGATAGAAGCATGTTGAACAATGCCCACGAGCCCCGTTTGAAATCCGGCTTGAGGAATATCATTTGTTCGTACGTCAAGATGAAACCATACTTTCTATCTGACCTCTTCATCTGTCTCGTGACCTGGCCTTCGATTCTAATTAGTATATTTCATGTAATATAGGATCCTTACACCCAGCCTACCTAGTATGTGCCTGAGATGGGCCTCATTGTGCAGAAGGGTAGCATCTTGGAGATCATGGGCCATAACCCATGGGGTCTTCATTTCCCCCATGTGACAATGCGCATGCTTCCGGATGTTGTCATTAGCACAATATCCGGAACTTTGCCTGTCGTCTGTGGACTTATATTCCGCGTATCTCATATCCAATTTGGCCGTGGAGCAAATGGCCTCCGTTGTTCACAAACTGACCTTGGACGCCAGTCTCATCCCCGACATGCACATGCTCATTGGTAATGCTAGCGTCGATGCTTGCATAAGAGTAACTGTCCATATTGCTCGAGATGCGAGCTTTTCACAGGGTTTCGCGTGTCTCTCTCAAAGTAGGTTGTCACAGTGTGAGAGGATGTCAATGAAGTGTATGTCATGCAAGGTAGAAGAGACGGTGGTATCAGCGCCTATTTCGATGTCTGGCAGAGCCTGCTTAATTAATGTTTTTGCTTCTTTTTACCGACACCGGCTGGGATCCTGAGGATGATGAAGTAGTAGGAGTCTCCCTGGATAGACCATTATATAGAGAATAATGTAGTGGAGAATAACAGTGAATAAGGATCATATTGAATGTCTACATCATCCTGTGCATTGCAAGCAGTAAATACACAATTGAACAATCATCACAGACCATAATGAACGGATATCATGCAGCCATGCTCACAAAAGAGGACGCGCTCACTGGATGGCAATATCGGCACAAGAGAGGTAAATCTGACCAGTCTGGAAGGAGTTCCACTTGAACGAGATCAAGGTGTGGTTGGAAGTGTACTCCGGTAGTTTAACCTTCTTGGTCACCGTGTAGCCACCTGCAATACTGGTGTAGCAAGAGTTCAACTCCGCATTATCAACACCCTGGCACTTAGGCCGGTCAGAAGCCTGGAAGCCATTGCAGGTAAACCAGTCGTTACGCCAGCAGGCCTGTCCCTCGGAGCAATCCGCGCTGTACCCGCACTCCTGGCCATTGACATCCGTGCAAGGCAGTAGACCTGCGTCAAAGCAATCCTCAGCAGCCTGCTTCTCATCTTCAGTGGGCAGGTAATCCGGGTCGAGGAACTTGTCGACAATACTCTGGTCTTGACAGATCCGGTACGTGAACATGCCGCCGTGGTCACCGTTGTGGTCGACACACCATTGTACTTCAATCTCTTCGCCAGGACTGTAGGTTTGCACAGCCTCAGAACCCCAATTAGTGGTGGGTTGGTTGTAGTCGATACTGTCACGGGCATTGTAGCCACAGGGTCCACTACGGCCGACTGGTGCCGCATCAAGGTCCGGCCAGGACTCGACAGGCTCGAGGATTGCACACTCCGGGCATGAGTCGACACCGGCCTGGGGTCGTTAGTTGAGTTTAAACTGAGCGTCGAGGGTAGGAAGAGGGGCAAATACCTCGTTGCCGAGACGGGTTCGGCTAGAAGGAATGTACATGTAGCCATGGCCTGCTACGGAGGTAGCTAACCCGAGGGAGAGTAATGCGGTGGTGGCCTTCATCTTGATAAAGACTCGTTGGAGCGGGTCGATGCAAAGAATATTAGAGAGGTGGTATTCAGTCCTTGAGAACAAGTAGTGATTCTCATGCGTTTAATGCCTTCAACAAACATGCTTCCATCCTGAATCTATCCTCCTATATATACATGACTCAAAATGGGATCGACATCCTTGTTGGACCATCTCCACCTGACTCGAAACATGCCCGAGCAGGGGACGGACATTTAATCCCAGTCCAATCCGTTCCTGACGAAACAACCTACCCTAGACATAGTGGAGACCGGACCATGCCGGAACGGCGCGAATACAAGATTAACGCTCTTCAGGGCTGTTGATAGTGAAGATCATAGCTCGATGAAGGTTAGTACGTGCCAAGAGTCATATATACTCCGTGATCGATAGAGTCGGCTCTCGGGCGCTTGACGTCTAAGCGATCTTGGCGTGAGGGCGGAGTGGACGACAAGGTCCGGTAAATTTCCGGCGGTCATGGATTTATACAAGAAATGCCAATTAATCTCGGGCCGGTGCTTTTGCATCCTGTTAATCGCGTGTGGGGTAGAGAGATGGAGGGGATGTGGGAGGTATACTTTATTTGGTTGGTTGGAGCCAGATTGAACGTTTTCTGGGCAGACGCACAAGATTAGATTGTTCAAGAATATGTTACAATTCAGTGACCTCTGTGAGGGGAATCGCTAGGAAAGCTTCAATGTTTGAGGGAATATTTTGTCTGTGGATTGTGCTAACAACACCTTTCACACCAAAGTTGCATACTGAGGGGAAGATTCCGGCTCGATCCGTATAGATTAGATGCTATAAGTATATCGAATGAAAATATTTGCACTTAGTTGAGATTATTATATTAACTATATTTTAACTATCTACCCAGTCTTACTCAATACATTCCCTCTCTATCTCCTTCCTTTTCTAATACAATTCCTCAGTTCAGAGTCTGTGTATCGTGGGTTGTTGCGGTCTTTCTGTATCGGGTATACAATTTACAATCAAATGTCATCTTGACACATCCCAGAGCGAGTTGATGTGTGCTGGAAAGTCCATGAACATTGAGGGAGTTATGGGGCAATTGATACCAACCCACCTATAATGGCAATGAGGCTGCTATAAATCCTATTGTTGTATGTCTGGATCAGTCCTAGTGCCATTCACTTCGCCATTTTCATATCCTTGCCTTGCTATCAATAGGGTCCAGCTCTCCCCCCGCAGTGTGAGAGTTTTACGATGAGCTAAAGTAGCTCCTGCGCAAGTCTTCTTGGGGGCGGGGGGAGAGAAAAAGAGACAAGGAGAGAAAGAATGAAAACCACGTTGAATATCCAAGGCAAATAAAATTCGCAAAGTAGGACACGTCCTTAGAGTTCTGTCCAGTAGGGGCTCGTCTTTCGGCATCTCGGCGCCGATATGAGGATGTTAAATAGTATCAGAACCATGCGGCCCATCGGTGCCGAAGCGCCATGAAGATTACCTCAACCGAACGATGCCGGATTTCCGAAGGCCAATGGCTCGTTTGCATCGCTAATCAGGTATCATAAACGACCTACATGAAATGGACACTTCACTCAACGTCAACTACCCAGTTTTTGCTGTGGAAAGTCTGGCAAAATACCAATATCAAAACGAACGCCCTTTGCTCCCTGCAACCGGCGATTGCCTCTCTACCAGAATGCACGATATCGCCCACAATCTGCACCATGGCCCTCAGCCTGAGGTAGTTGTAAGGACCGGCGATGAGTTCCTTGCTACATCGCGGCATCCAACAGACTCTGAAACACCACAGGTTGACTCTCATCCTCTCCCTGAAGGAGGATATGGTTGGGTCTGTGTGGTATGCACATTCCTCATGAATGCTCACACATGGGGTATTAACAGCGTAAGGCATATTTCGGAAATTGAGGCTGGAAGTCAGCTGATGCAACTTCTAGGCGTATGGAGTTTTTCTATCTTACTATCTGTCCTCCAATGTCTTTCCCGGAACAACAGCACTCGAGTATGCATTTGTCGGTGGCCTTAGTATTTCTTGCGCCACGCTTGTATCTCCTCTCGCTACTTACCTAGATAGGAGGATCTCCACTCAATTAGTCCTCAGCATTGGGACGGTTCTCGAGACCCTTTCGCTCATCACCACGTCATTTGTGACAAAGAATTGGCAGCTCTTTCTCTCACAGGGGGTTTGTTTTGGGCTTGGAATGGGCTTCTGTTTCTGTGGGTCCGTGGGAATTGTCTCTCACTGGTTCACGAAACGACGCAGTCTAGTGAATGGGATTACAGCAGCTGGGTCCGGGACAGGGGGCCTGATTTATTCGCTTGCCGTTGGACACATGATCCCGACGGTAGGGTTTCCATGGGCGATGCGCATTCTCGGTATTATATCTTTCGTCGTCAATCTGGCTTGCGCAAACCTCCTTCGGGTGCCTTTCTCTTCCCGGTCTAACATGCGACATACCCCCATCTTTAGTATGACGCTCCTTCGGCGACCAGACTATCTTACCGTTCTACTTTGGGCTTTCCTCAGTGCCCTAGGATACGTAGCGCTGTTATTCAGCTTGTCAAGCTATGCGGTCGCGGTTGGCTTCACACATGACCAAGCTAGTCTTGCCAGCGCATTGCTCAATTTAGGGCAGGCAATAGGACGTCCCAGTGTTGGGTTACTAAGTGATTACCTTGGACGTATCAATGTGGCTTCTAGTGCTTCCACTCTGGCAGGCATACTGTGCCTAGTTGTGTGGGTTTTTGCCGAGTCTCTCGTGGTGCTCTACTTCTTCGCCATTGCCGTTGGATTATTCGCAGGTACGCTATTTGCCGCTGCCGCGCCACTCGCTGCAGAGGTCGTGGGTATTGAGGATCTCTCTGCTGCCCTCGGCATTCTGTGGTTGGTTATTTGCCCTCCAACGGCTGTCGCGGAGGCAATCGCTGTGCAACTTCGCGAGAATGGGGCCACCCCTAAACCCTACCTTCGCGTCCAACTATTTACTGGCATCATGTACTTGGGAGCCGGAGGTTGCCTGTTCATGTTGAGAGTGCTACTGTACGGGTCCAAATACCGAGGTGGTAAGGAGAAGGGAGCTCGCTAATCCGGCTTTCGTTGGTTCGAGGGAACAGGCAAGATTATGGTTAAAAGGAGCCCAGTATAGCTCTACTAGAGATACATAGATCAATCTAGAACTATAGAAGCGACTTTCCAACAGTCGATTACTAGGCATATGTGACTTGCAGAGAACTCTTGTATGCGTGAGAGAGAAAACATATTTCCGTGACGCTGTATGACCGACTTGGCTCCTATCCGATCGTTCGCATCCAGAAACCCAGATATTAAATGAGGCAGATACACATCACTGATTGCAATATTTGTGTTGGCCATTTATTCCGAACGACTCCAAATCACTCAGGTCTTGGCACCATTGGGTGGGTTGTCGAGGTGCGCTGTTGGCTATGAGGACAGCCTACCGATATCCTACCTAAAGTAGAACAAGAGAACATGCGATATCTGAAGCCAAACAAAGCCAGATATACATTCCGGTTGACGTGGGTGAAGTGTTGACAGTTCACTAGTACTTGTTCCATGGCGGACTTTTCGGCACCGGGAGTCCGAGATGGCCAATGAAATTTCACCACCGCAGTCGACTGGCTGATCGACTACTGTGACATTATCTTCGTAGTCCTAACTCAATAGGTTTCCTTTGCGTATATGACTATCTACGAGCTTCGTTCCCCTTCCTATCTCTCTCTCTGTCTCAATCTCTCTGCAAGTTCTCATTTCCTGTTCGGACGTATTTGACGGACTGTACCAAGGATGCCAAAAGTCCAGAAAAACCATTCACCCCACCAGGATGCTCGATGGTCACCCCCACCGCGCCTAAGTTCAAGATCGTGTTTGTGCTGCCACCGTCGCAAGGTCCGATGTGATCGAGGCGTACCATGTACCAATTGTGCCAGGGCGGGCTGGACATGTGTGTACCCTAGCAGAGATACCGGCGACGGATCGCGGAGGGTGACGAGCCTTCAAGCAATTACAGACAGATTGGACCGACTGGAGGAAATACTATTAGACATCCGCCAGAGCCAGGGCCGACAAGATGCCCCAGATGACAACCATCTGGTAATTCCAGAACCCAAGGCCAAAACGCCGACGGCACTCGACCCACGACCCTCCAAACCCTGGGAGCTGTTGTTGGGCGATGGACCACGCGTGCACTATGTGAACAATTCTAATCTTAAGGATCTTTTGCACGATGAGGAGCATATGAGGCCTCCTTCTACTGACCATGCTACAGTCTCCCCAGCGGAGCACGGAGTATCAAGGAGCGGTTCAGATCGATTAGCGAAGTCTCCCGTGGACGCTGCATCGAGTCTGCACCATCTTCACCCAGAGCCACGGGACGCATTACAACTTTGGGCGCTCTATGTGAAGAATGTCGATCCAGTGTCGAAGATCCTACATATACCGACCGCGCAATCTGCCATAATTGCCACCATTTTAGATTCGAAGAATGCCGATAGATCTATGTCGGCTCTGACGTTTGCCATTTACTTTGCAGCACTTACCAGTATAACTGAACAAGACGCCGCCGAGCTATCATTGGACAGGGCAGAGCTCCTGGAACACTTTAAATGCGGTCTGAGCCACATCCTCGTTGGAACCGAGTTGTTAAACCAACCAGATATGCCGGCGTTGCAAGCGCTAGCCATCTTCCTAGTAGGTTATAGGTTTATATGTCGGACGATTATCTGATGACACTATCGCTTATGGAAAGACTAGTCTACGTGTCCACGAAACGGGACGTGGCGTCTGGGTTCTTAATGGGATTGCAATTCGATTGGCTCAGTCTATCGGCTTGCATCGAGACGGTACCTCCCTCAATTTAACCCCGTTTGAGTCAGAGCTTCGTCTACGCGTATGGTGGCACCTTTGTGTGCTAGATGCTCGGTCACCAGAGGACCATGGCTTTGAGCTGACAGGCGACCTACTTAGCCATGGCCCAAGACTTCCACTGAACATTAATGACGACCAGCTTTACCCGACCATGGAGAAGCTGCCGAAGGAATTGGATGGGTGGACTGAGATGTCTTTCTGCATCGGTGGAATAAAGGTTACTAGGCTTCTGCAGCCAATATTGGGCACCAGATCAAAGGATACCCTGAGTGATATTGAAGCCAAGCGCAGAACCATCGATGACTATAAGACGTGGCTGGACAGTTCGCTTTCTTCCAGTTCCCATCCACCAGGTCATCTTTCCCACCTCGCATACCGACATTTCATCACCGCCTGCAAGAAGATGGAATTCTTGTTACTGATACGGGAAGAAATATACCAGGAAAAACAAGCGCAACTACGAAGTGGTCCTGATTACTCCACCAAACCTTCGTTCAAAGCTGCCTGCGATGTCCTAGAAAGCAGTTACACGCTTTTGCAAGACTCCGGGCCCTTCAGCCATCACACGTGGTTATTTAAAACCTATACACAGTGGTATGCTCTTGCCTACATTCTCCGCTGTCTCTGTACGAGTCGCCGCACACCGGAAACCGACCATGCCTGGGACCTGGTTGATGATATCCTGCGCTGCGCGACTAATTTCAATCCTTCTTCGAACTCTTGCACCACAATCGGCAATAGTAGCATCTGGAGATGTCTCTGTTCACTCCGAGCCCAGGCTTTGTCTGCCCGACTAGCTCAGCAGTCATCTATGGATTCGGACAATTTAACTCCTCGCCTTGGCTCACATGATGTCGGCAGATCTAATGACAATATCCATGACCAGAACCCCAATAACACTAGGCACGGTCAAACCCCTTTAACTATACCCAACGTCTTGCCTATCAATAGCCCGGCTTACTTCAACGACCCAATAGAACAGTCCTTTGAGCACTTTGCTGATATTCAGCACGGCCTCTTACCTACCTCATCTTTACTGGAAGTCCCTTTGCTTCCCGGATGGAATGCCGTGGTCAATGGTGTTCTAGACGACGACTACATCTAGAAGTCTTATACCGATTCTTGAAGGCGTAGCGGGATTTCTGTGCCAGGTATACTATCCACGGTTAAACGAGAATTCCAGGGAGCTAGTCAAGTATCTGCTCAATGGCTACCACTCCGCAATAACGGAACGTGATTTAGAACTTAAGACACCAGCTCTTGGGGGAATGGTCAGTTCGTGTTTTTGAGAAAATTTATTGGTTGAGATACTTTAAGGGACGATTCAAAATTGGTGGACCCACCAGTCGAACCCACAAATTAAGCTCTATAACTTGGAAGGTCGATCGGACGGGGGCAGAGGAATAAATTATCCGACAGAGCGTCATAAGGTTGGCAAGATCATTTGTCCAGTTAGCCACTCCTATGTATGACCTGTCAGTCTGGATTTACTTGATGGCAATAAATCCATACAAAACTATTATTCTTAGAATACAGTATAAGTTACTAGTTGACAGATATAGTCAAGTATATGTTAAAAACTATTCTTCACATTCGACACTATATATTAGATTTCTTTTTCAGTATAATTTTCGTTATCTTACTCTAATTCTTTAAATATATTTTACTATTTATTGATTACTGTCCCTAAGTTTTAGATATTTCTTATCCTAGATACTATAAGAAGAAGATTCCGGCTTAATTTATATAGAATTAGATACTATACATATAGTAAATTGAAATATTTCGACTTGGTTAAGATCGTTGTCTTAGCTATGGTTTGGCTACTTGTCTGGTCGTAGTATGCCCAAACGATAGGTAACCTGCAGGATGGTATTCATATTCCCATCTCCCCTCGCCATCTTTTTTCACGCTATCGAAATGGAATATTAACAAGACAAATTGCAACCGCTAGTAAAAGCCTAACGTACCTCTAAACCCCGGCCTGTGCGCCAAAGGAAATACCCCTGCCATCGGCTTTGGCTCTAAGCTTAGCCCAACATCCTGCCTTGCAGGTTTGTTAACGGTCTACCCTGTAGCCTTCGATGGAACAGATGCCAATTCCAAGGAAGATAGGTAGCAAGATCCATCATGCCTGCCAGGACTATAGCTGTTTCTAGTTTACACACCATGGGCCTTCCCCGGGCACAGAGGTTCGGCCATCCAGGATGTGAGATCAGTGTACTATCGTCGCTTTTATCACATTTGGGGAAGATCTATTCGACTGCAATAACAGTGATTTGCCGAGCTACATGTTCAGATGCTGATCGTTGACGGATACCCAAGAATTGGATGCTACTGAGTTGCATCTGGATATAATACAGCGTTAGGGCTATTCAGTGAGCAGACGATATGTGAATCCGGTACAGGTTTGGTCTTTGAAATTTATCGTCCTGCCTCTAAGCTCTTTTTTGTTTATTTATGTCTAGTACGTATTCAAGGAAAATGCGCGAGTGGCTCACTGCACCGTACATTCTGAAATCTGTAGGGCTTTCATGATTGCTCGAGGCTGCTTTGGAATATAATTGGATAGGTACCACATGAGCGCGCCAAAAAAGCTAACATGATCGGTCACAACTGACAAATAGCTCGAAGTGAGGGCAGTGCGTGATTCCATTTCACTGACTACTAGAGTTTTGACCTTATCTCCATCCACCCTTCCCACCACTAAGCTTCCGTTTCTTTGGTCAAAATCCGTTGTTGCAATACTTTTGACCTAGATTTATAAGGTATTCAACATCTGGACTGTGAATTCATCATCCTACACAGAATGCTATTGTACAAATGTGTTATGACTATTGGTCAGTTTGCTACGTGCTTGCTTACACAGTCTGGACTAGTGAAGTCCTCATAAGGCTGTTGCCTGCCATAACGCTTCCTGTGGATCCCTTCAGAGCATAGAAATGCACACAAAAGTCCTACTTTAAGGGTGTTTTTGTACCATCATCGTCTCTATTGGGAAACATCGCAAGGGTCTTTTCCAGCGCCTGCAGCCCTTGTAGGCAGTTATTCAGGCCGGTTGTCAGCGTGTACACGCTGCTTGTCTCCATCCTAGTCATCAATCGCTGTATCTCGTCTGCAAGTATTTTGGCAGCCAGTGTATAGGCCTTGACAACAAGCGCCGGTTGCTGTGTATCCAGGTCAGCTTCAGGGGTACTATAGTCGCAAAAGGGTCACCCTCACCGGATGCGCAGCAATGTCCTGCACATTTGCCTTCAAACCATGGTCTCCCTGAAACCCGGGGCTCGGCGCTCTAATACTCAGCGAAGCGAGATAGGATATATTCATGGCGCTAACAAGCCTCTCCTCTTGACGATCCGCACTCGTCGATCGGAGAGTCGTGTAGAGGCTGTCATCAGCTGGTGATGATTCCATAAGTGCTGCCTCCAATTCGCGGATAAGCTCATCGAACAGGAGAATTGCCAAGTCGCCGTCGGTGGCGCAGAAGAGAACCCTGCGTTGGACATTTGCTCGGGACACTTGTAAGCTCTCAATAGCTGTAGGGGTGATTCGACCAAAGGCTTCTCGCCACGAGTCGATAAGCGTAGTTGTCGCAGTGTAGTGGCGCTGAAAGTCTTCATCATCTCCCGTGCCCGTTAACAGATCCTGCGATGCTAGTGTCAGCAAGGCTAGTGACCGCCACAGCAGCACAGCAAGCGAGCCTGTATTAGTGACAGCGCGATCCACGACATCACACGATACGTTCTGAGACCACAGCGCTGTGACATTGTGCTGTTTAGGTCGAGCGCGAGCAAGAATAGAATTCGCAATTTCTTGCTCATGCCTCCTAGTGTTCAGTTCGTCCAGATTGCCGGGCTGTGTTGGTCCCCGCAAGGGTAATCTATTAACACTAGCGTATTGAAGGTCAAGATTCGTCGGGCCCGTTCTCTCACGAGACATGGCGATAGTAGCGGAGTGAGACATCCAGAATAACCACTCAATGGCGCCAACCACTTCTAGGATGTACTGCCGAGCTTCGGAAGAGAATCCTTGGACGGCGTGTGACTTTCGTCTCTCAGTGCCGGTGCCTACCACTTTTAAGGACGAGAGGGAAGGGCTCTCTTTCCCGCGATTTTCCTGGAGATAGACACGCGCATTGGAACAGAGTGCTCGAAGACGCTGAGCCCCCTCACGGTGCGCGTAAGTGACATCCTCTGCCCACGTTTCGCTCTGCTCTAGCCCTGTCGGTGGCAGGATTCCACCAAAAAGAACGAGAGAGAGAGCCAGGCGAAAAGATCCAGTTGCTCCAATGTTCTTGAAGAGCATGTCTCTAGCTTGTTGCCATGTAGCCAAAGCAATGTCTCTAGCCCGTGCATGGGATTTGGCTGATCCTGTACCATTGCTTTCGTGCACTATGAACTGGCTGGCTGTTGCAATAGCAACCCATTTGTATGCTTCGTCAATAGCTCCATCTCGCATATTGCTAGATGTAGGGCTCTGCCGGGACCTCGGGTGCTGAAAGAGTGTGTCCAGGAGCGACACAGCGAGGTAAAGATTTGGTGTCGCAAACGTTGCGTCCCACGATGTCAGATTCATGTACCACGAATTGCTAATACTCGATCGGGCGCGCTCCAAGTACGGTGATACATCAGCATTGTCACTCAGTGGAGTAAGAGCGTCAATTCCCAGAGAATAGCAAGGCGGTAAGCATCTCTCAGAAAGGCATGATGTGATCTGCATATCAACGACATCGATGTATAAATACAAGTGCTGCAAGCACCTTTCTCGTGCCTCCAGCTGCTTCGCTTGGTCCCATTCGGCCCGGGGTATCAAAGGTAAACCTTGCACCTGGGGCACATCCTCGACTGGCTTCCATTGGGAATTGGGGGCCTTGTTACCCATGGGAGATCGAGGGGAAATTTCTGCTCGCCTCTGGATATGGCGGGCGGGTTTCTGGCTAGCTAACCAGGCCACTGTACATTCCATGCTACGAAGAGAGCACATGGTACACGCAGCTGTGGGTTTGTCGCCACAAATTGCTACCCCCCTGGGAAGATCGCATCCCCGTTTTGCCAGACGACAGGGATCACACGAGCGGTTCTGTCGACGTATCCGCCGCCCCGTGCTTTGCTTTTGTGGTGTGGAGATTGGATAAAGCTCCTGTTGAATATTAACGGCGGGTGCTGAAGAGGTTCGATCGGCATTTTGATAATGTGAGTATGAATTGGTGGCACAGTTAGTACAAGGTTCCTGGTTCTGGTAAGAACCAGCCAGGCTCTCTAACCAGCTCGGCTCTGTCTGGATCCATCGCGGTAGCTGTTCCTTTTCACTCCCATGGACGACTGAGCTCGCGGATAGGCCCAGCTCCGAACCAGGGGGGGTCAGCCATAGTGGCAGCGAAAACTGAAGCTCACTGATCGGGTTTGTATCGCAGTCATTGTTTGGGTCATGCGATAGTTGCGGAAATTGCAGGCAATTATCTGGTGGAGAGAATGCCATTATCTTGCTGTTGCGATTCCGAGGGAACCGAACTACGTAATGGGGCTATCGGTAGTCAGCGATCGTGGGATCCGCTCATCTTCTTCGATTGTATTGCCGGAGGAGAATGCGGAGGTCCATTAATATGCGACAGGAGAATCTGGGGAAAGGCGATCATCCGCGGGGGGTCCGCGGGTCCCGACCAACTCCACCATTGATTGAGTTTGGGATACGATATAGATTAGGGTAAGGGGTAGAAAGGACATGAGAACTCATGTCCCAGCGACAATATACTAGTTTATAAGGCAAGTGACCCTGGAGAACGCAAACCTTATGGGAGCGTAAGGCTTTAGATATTTCCTTGAACATACGGCCAGGTGATATAAGCATGGGATTCTTTTCCGCACCGTGGATCACTGGTTATGCTAACAGTTAAATACTGGATATAATCAATGAATATGCCCACTTTGGGGGCATTGTAGGCTTTGTATATATATCCTCTGTTCCTCTGACGTGCGTACGAGTTTTGCATCGTCTCTGGTTGCACGTGTCGTTGAACAGCCCCAGACGACTGTGCAAAGACCTGATGCTTTTTGGAGTTACGAGGTTGATGTCAAATGTCGATCATTCAGAGGAACCGCGGGTCCGCTTCCACCCCGCATCGATTCATACTCCACCAGGATCTCCATATCGAATGGCGAGTTCCACGTACGCCTCTCTTTCGGCAGCCGTGGACACCGAGGCTAATATCGAGGCTCCTCACCATCTGAACATTTGAGCTCTCGCCCTGAGGCTCATTATTTGAGACCGATCCTTGACACTGTGTAGCATCAAAGATTTCACGTTATTTTGGGGGTTGCCAGCGCATCCCAACCCGCAAACAAAGATTATGTCAGACCGTCCATCTTCCAAACGACATGCATTCTTCGAACCGAACTTGGAAATCTCCCCACAGGACATCGAATATTTCGCCTCCCTCCCATTTGCTTCGTCCTATCTAAACAGCGCACTCTACGAGCCGGTTCCATTCATTACTCGATATAATACAAAAGGCACCTCCAATAAGTTCTTCAGTAAAGTGATCAACACCGCCGATACAATCCCACACTTGCTGGCCCTAGTTCGAGTACCAGACTCCAAACAAAATCAGATTCCAAATGAACGTGACGATGCACGCCCAGACTTTGTGGTTTTCGTTTCTCTAGGCCCCGACCTGTGTGGATTCCAAGATACAGCCCACGGTGGAGTCTTGGCTGCCCTGCTCGACGAAGCTCTAGGCTTGTGTGCCGAAGCCACAGAGCTAGTGTCAAAAGGTGATACGCGGTTATATACCGCTGGTCTTGAGATTTCGTATCGCTCCCCTGTATATGCACCGAGCGTCGCTATGATTAAAACTTGGGTCACAAAGAGGCAGGGCAGAAAGTGGTTCTTGGAAGCGCAGGTTCTTGATCAAGATGGCGTGGTAAAGGTAGAGGCTAAGACATTGTATATTAGCTCCAGAGCTGCTGCTGCATTATAGCTCTCTGAGCGACACCCGATGGAGACTTTTGACCATTTTCTTGTTTATATTGAGTTTCTACTGGGGAAATAAAAACTCACCTGCCTGCCCCTGAAATTATAGCGGTATCAGGCATTGTTATATATCTTGTTTGCTTTGTGCCCAGCCTAATCATTGGATGCCTGCCGTCATTGATACTATCTTGATCACTTCTCAAGGAGGAAAACAAAAGACGAATTTTTAGAGCCAGGTATCCGAACATTTAATCATAGACATGTTTCAATAGGACTTGAGAGCATACATTCAAACGTGAAACACATTACGTTCAACGGATTCAAGAATCTGATCCCAAGGACACCCTAGCTTCTCCATAGACTTAATGAAAATCTCCAGCTCAGCCCAGTCCTCTGGACACTGGACTCCGGGCCGCTTGCGTGCCCCTAAATCCAGCACCATCAGGGCGAATGCGGCACAAGATGCCCCAATTGAAGTTGCCATGCTCTCTCCCATGAACTAGTCCTTTTCTAGAAACAGGTGTACGCCTAATGGTGACAGTAGGATGTCCATCGCGGATGTCAATGCCACGAACGAGAATACCTGATCGACGTAGCGCTTGCTTGCCCCGCGCGGAATCGACCAAAAAACTCAGAACCTCGCCCGAGGTGCATTCTCCCTTACGCACCTGATTGATCATGCCCCATAAGGCAAGGTTTAATGGCATGAGGGACACGATACCATGGGAAGCTAGTTGGTATAGCTAGTTGAGTGTAATGTCGCTGCCCCGGAATTGAGAGGTGATGGCACCGATGGTCTCACTCCAGCTAGCAGAGGGCTTTTTCTGTATACCATCAAGGAAGTCGATGGCTGCATCTATAGAAACAGCCCCTGAGTGGACTGCGACACCCAGACCTCGTGCAAAACCGTTGAATGGCGCAGGGCTGAGAGCACTGATGGTTCGAATCCGAGTAATATTTGGGAGCCGGCGCGGCAAGGTAATCGGCTCGGGATGGACAATCTCATGGAAAAGATCATTAGAGCCTGTGATAGTGGGGGCATAAGCTGTCTCGACTCAGTTCTCATGGACTGCGGCTTTCCCGTCGGCCCAGGTTAGACAAGGTCCACCTGTGATATGCATCAGGTGCTCCAGGACCTCTCTACCTGAATGACCGCCCTCTTCGCTGACGAACCAACAGATATCAAGACCCTCGATGGTATCAAGCTCTTTGGCAACATCAAGGGCGATAAGATTGGCCATTCCCGTTGATGAACCGCAATTGATGTAGGAAAGGGACGCCCTCCCGCTTTGCCCTTTCATGTAAATCGAGTGGCACTTGTGTGCTGTGCAGGTCATTTGAATAGTCCAGGTAGGGTACCTTTGCGTCGATACAAGCTGTGAGTACTAGTGTTGAGGTTCGATAGTATGGCTGCGCTCCTTGAATCACGAGCCCAACTCCGGCGATATTTCGTATGGTGATATTTTTACCGGGTACCTTGGTAACAACTCCACGGAGTGCATCCTCGTCGGAGTCTTCGAGAATGACAGGTACGTCGCTTGCTTGCACAAAAGTTCTGATAGCTTCTCCGCATATTGCGTCTGTGGCACCAATAAAGATGACTGGCTTAGAGCCGGTAGAACTGATCTGCATATTGTAATGGGAGTAAGTCAAATCGGGCAGAGGCATTACATTCAAAGAAAAGTATAAGGTGAATTACCAGCAATATGGTTGTCTTGGTAGGCGAATAGTAGAGAATGGCTACTACCTTAATCTTTAGATTTCATTTACGGAGTGGTAGATCCACATTTTGGTTTCTGAACCTGATTATGCCCTGGAGGCGGGCTGTATGTATCTGATCTAAAAACACCAAGCCATACCCGCGGCTCCGAGGACGGGCGAGAGGAATGAGTGAAATTGGAGACACAACATTCCGATCCGGGGGTCCGCGGGTTCCCGAGCAGGGTGTTAGGGTTTAGACCGGCGATCGAATGCTAGGAGCTTGCATCACCTTCCACCCATACTGAAAGTAGAAGACAAGTAGTTACCACATAACTCTGACAAGCTCAGGGGTTAGTAACATAAAAGTAAGGCATTGTATTGCGTCTTAGTTTGAAACCACGATGGATCATTTGTTATATCGGAAACCACTCTGATTTCACAATCAACTCTCGCACAAGATGGCGAACCAAATTCCACATGAGCTCTTAGCCAAGTTAGCTGGTCAAATCATCCAGGACCCTGGCATTCCAGTTGTAGCTCCAACTGTTTCAGCTTGGCAAGAACCAGCACATCCGATCGCGACAATCCAGTCCGGCGAGTTGCGGCAACGCACTGACTTTGCCATCATCGGTTCTGGTATCACTGGTACCAGCGTTGCTAAGACATTCCTTGAGAATGGACTAGCACGCGATAAGACAGTCACCATGTTTGAAGCCCGGTCCCTAACTACTGGGGCAACCAGTCGCAATGGGGGGTTTCTCCTGAGCTATGCTCCGCAGTTCTTCAATCGTTATGCGGAGGCCTTTGGAACCGATGCTGCCAGACAAATTGCCCTGTTCTGCGACCGCACGTTGGAAAGTATCGTTGATATGGCCAAGGCTGAGGGTCTTGATAGGGCTAGCCAGATAAGAGACGTCACGACGATCGCTAGCTTCGAAGATGAGGAAGGTTTCGCAAACGTGACCGAGTCTATTCGCATGTACGAAGAGGCTATTCCTGAGGCAAAGGGAAAATATACAATCATTAGCAAGGACACAGCAGAGAAGGTAAATGCACTCTGTGGACCTACCTGCTGAAAACGACATGCTGATTGTTCCAACAGGAGTATCATCTCAAGAAGTCTAGTGGTGCTGTTGTCGTTCATTCTCAGGTTTTCTGGCCATACAGGCTAGTTACAAACCTTCTGCAGCGCCTTCTCCAACTTTATCCAGAGCGTTTTGCAATCGAGACCCACACGCCAGTAATCTCAGTCACAATTGATGAGGCCGACAACGAATACCCCTATATGTTGACAACTCCCAGAGGGACGGTGAGAGCTGCAAAGGTCTTCCACTGCACCAGTGGATTCACAGGCCACCTCCTACCCAAGCTCAGGGGAGCGATCTTCCCATGCCGACTGTCCATGACAACGCAGAAGCCCGGACCCCAGTGGGGGAATCGCCCCAACTCATGGCTCTTTCATTCAAAGCGATCATATGATGCCAGTACCACCCTAGTCGAGCAAGGCCTATACTGGATGCAACAAAACGCAGAAACCGGCGATCTGTTCGTTGGAGGCGACCTGCAGAGGCTGGACGATTTTCTGTCCTCAGACGATTCTCTCATCAGTGCTGACTCTGTGAGAAATCTTACTGACTTACTCCCTAAGAGGCTCTTCAAGGCAGGCTGGACGAATCCTATCACTAATACTAAAATGACCTCCGCCACTGCCTTTCATAGAATCTGGTCTGGAATTCTCAGCATCACAGCGGATCAAGTCCCGATTGTGGGGAGTGTGCCCACAAGTATCAGTGGTAGAAATGTTGAAGGGGGAGAGTGGATTGCGGCTGGCTTCAATGGAAACGGCATGGCACAGTGTTGGTTATGTGGTGAGGCTATTGCTCGCATGGCCTTGGGAGAGCCAAAGCCAGAGTGGCTCCCAGATGTTTATTTGAGTACTGAGAAGCGCCTGGGGGATGAGGTGTCCATGGGCCCAGAGGCAGGCCTGGCATCCTTTTTCGCAAGGTAGTAGAGGATGATAGATGGATCTGGCATGCAGGTGCCAGTTGGAGTTGTATTTAGGATCGAGCCATGAGTTATAGTTCAGCCCTGCCAATATTATGACTTTAAATATAATTGCCAACGCCACTCTCCCTGAGAATCTTCAAGTTTCCTTTTGCTAAGTAGCAAAGCTCGTATTGGCAGCCTTGTGCCTGGCATCTGACATCTTCGACAATGAGAAGCTGGTATTGTGCACGTAAGTTCACCTAGACCGTCTAAATTGCACCTTTCTGGCTTCGACAAGGCAATTGTGTACCTGGGCCTTAGGCCATTCATCATTGACTGAGATATATGTAAGACCATGTTGCATCTCCTATCCAGCTCTACATAAAACAATATGGCAAAAGTGGTTTTACGGATTGACCATGCTAGTATACAAATGATTCCCTGGATTTTCACAAAATATAGTTCTATCTCCTGAGACATACCTATTTCGACCATTCCAAGCCTGTCTGTATATCCCCCCACCAAGCCTGTATGAGATCCTTCCAATAGTACGACCGAGGTTCCCACTGAGGCCTATCACCAACTTTTGGAAAAGCCGAACTACCCCTCTTAACATATGTAGCGTTCAGGTTAAGGAGCGGCAGCTCCTGCATCTCCTTCTGATCCTCATCACTACATCGAGGAGAAACAATGTCCAGCCCTTCCTCCCTCATTTGTGTCAATATCCGACATGTCAGCTGTGCAGTTGCATCAGCACCCAATGTCCAGCTAGCATCCACATATCCCATCGCAAACACCACATTCGGTAGCCCATCAACCATCGTACATTTCCACATGAAATGATCCTGAATCGCAAACGGGGCTCCATCTACCGTGACCTGAATCCCACCCGCAATTTTCATCTTCAGCCCGGTAGCCGTGACGATGATATCGGCATTTAATTCGGCGCCGGATTGCAGCTGGATGCCCTTCTCCGTCACTGTTTCGATCACCCCGGTTGCCACGCTGCCACTCCCATTCCGGAGACATTCGAAAAAGTCTCCATCGGGACACATACACATCCGTTGCTCCCATGGATTGTACCTAGGTGTGAAATGAGGATCCAAGGGCACCTCCTTGGGGAGTTCCTTATGGGTGATATCAAGACACAACCGCTTCGCGAATTTGGGAAACCAACGGCAGAAAGTCACCAAAACGAGCGGCACGAGGATCCATTTAAATCGAATGAGACTGACTGCTAGCCGCTCGGGGCAGATCCATCGGATGAATTTCTCAATAGCGTCTTCATTTGGAACAGACAGGACATAACTAGGAGAACGCTGCAGCATAGTCACACTGGACGCTTTCTTTGCCAGTGACGGCAGCAAGGTGATGGCCGTAGCTCCGGAGCCGACGATGATGATATCCTTGTTGGTGTAATCGAGATCAGAAGGCCAAAACTGCGGGTGGAGGACTGTTCCTTGGAATCGATTGATCCCAGGAATATCGGTCTCGAGGGGCTCATGATAGTCATAGTACCCAGTGGCCATCATAATGAACCGAGTGCGTAGAGCCACAGTGGCCGCGCCGTCTGTGTAAACATGAACCGTCCAAGCCTTCGTACAAGTTGACCAATCCATCCTATTCACTCGATGGCGGAACTTGATTTTCTGGTTGATTCCTTCCTCCTCCGCTGACTCTTGGATATATTCACGGATCAACGAGCCGTGCGCGATTGAATTCTTCTGAGTCCAGGGACGCCATGCAAAGCCAAACGTAAACAAATCGGAGTCGGAACGTATCCCTACATCAAATCGTCTTAGCCATAATGAAATTCCACCAAATACCTCATCACTCCAGCGTACCTACCTGGATACTGAAACAAACTCCACGTTCCACCAATTTCATGCCGCTCCTCAAGAATACAATATCTCAGATCCGGATGGCTTTCTTGCAGTCTATACGCAAAATTGATCCCAGAGATGCCAGCACCGATAATGATGACATCGTAATCGAGACGGTCGTTTTCTTCAGACATGTTGAGGAAGGCGGGTATACTGTAGCCGTAGTTGAGTTTCAGGCAATGATAACTTTTAGCATTAAATTAATCCTAACGACTGATATATCCATGCGATTTCCCAGGTCTGGTTTTGTGCCCACTAGCCTTGTCCGAGGGTACGGTTGTAGCATACGTATTGCCACTTCAACACCCGTGAACCCTAAGTGGATATCAACGTCTTACTCGGTGCCGCCGGATCCGCGGAATACGATAGCTTTGGGGGCGCCTGGATGCCTGGCTAAAGTGTAACTGCTACGCAAGATCTGCGACTCGTCTTCTGAGCTGGAGCCGGTGTCAGAACCGCTACGGAGCCGTGTGTTGCTGTATCCACCATGGAACCATATTTTTCCAATATGGAAGCCGTTCGGCTATCGGCCTTATAGCTCGGACCATATCAATCGAGCTATACTGGTCACAACGCTTTCGCCATTCTTGTTAATTATCGCGTTGCACTTAGAATACGTTAGTCTTGCAGCCTTGACATGGCTTCATGTGTTCATATACATCATCACTATCTTAAAACGTTATTCTGTATTCTGCTAGAGCTCAAGAGCGGCTCAAAAAGCAAAATAGGGGACACAAGAGTGTGTACCTGACTGGAATATTGTACCAACCACCTTTGAGCTATGATAGTTAATATTGCGTGGAATAGGGACGGGAGTCAGTTCAGTGGTAAACAGGAACAGTTGTGCTTTTTTATTCAAGAATTACCTTTGACAGGAGGAAAAGTTAGACAGAATTTAGCTTTGGGGGAAATAAATAGTATATCTAAACGCTAGATGTGAGATATACACCGCACCCTATCTCTCGCTTCATCTGTACCAGCTAAGACAAGTGCGCTTCCTACTGGGATTATATTTCAAGACCAGAGCGCGGTGGTGCATTTACATTCTGGATGAAAGTGTATCATTATCCACATACGTTAAGCTGGTATCTGTCCAAGACGCTAAAGAAATGTAGAGAATACACGTGGACTCCAAACGAGAGCCGAGAAGGTTATCCCAATGCAAGAAGATTTGAACACCGTCCAACAATGCATAGATGCGTCATATAAAGAGAAACAAGGAAAAGTGTCGAGGTTAAAGAAAGACAATAAAGAATATCAACCGAATCATGTCATGAAATCTAATTTCACGCCCCTCGTCGAGGCCGTTTACTCTCACCCCCCATTCTCAGGCCTCCTCGGCCACCGCCATCGCCGTGTCCACTCTCATCGCCCCCGGGTCTTCCACGCTTGCGATGGGAACCTCCTCCGCTGCCGCCATCACGGTTATAGTCTCTGTCGCGTTGGCGATCCCGATTCCGATCCCGGTCTCTATCACGCGGCTCACGACCACCACCCCAGCGTCGATCTTCTTCGGCGTTACCTGGGAGGGGTGGCGGGGGAGGGGGCGGAGGTGGGTGTCCACCAAGCGAAGATGGAGGCCGAAGGCGTCCTTCCTGTTCCTGACTCTGGGCGTCCGATGCATCCTCCCGGTCACGTCGACGACGATTGTCGTCGCGTGATCCGGCCCCTCGGCGTGACGCTTCGCGGGACTCGTACCGTTCTTCCCGAGTGCCACCTGCGCCGGCATCACTTCTACGACTGCGCTCGCGTTCGTAGTCTCGCGTTCGATCTCGGTGCTCCTCTCTTCTGCTGCTACTCCGCGCTCCCTCCTCCTCGCCTGTCCGACGATCACGTTCCCTATCCCTATCACGGTCACGATCACGGTCCCGTTCTCTGTTGTGCTCTCTTTCTCGATCTCGGTCGTGGCCCGAGTACCGCCCAGACCTTCGTGACTCGGGTCCAGACTCCTCTACTGGCTCCCCACGAGCACCGCCTGGTCGATTCCGGGGTTGTCCGTCATCCTCGGTGAAAGAACCGGAGGGTCGGCCGGCCATAAGGTCAGGCCGATTCTGGGGTGGTCCCAACCGACCGCCTTCATCAGGAGCCTGAGGAGCATTCATACCAGCAGGCTGACGGTTGGCACCTCGGCCACGAATGGTTGGGCCTGGGGCCGCACGCTCCGCCGGTCCTCCGGATTGTTGCAGCATGTTGTTGAGTCCAGCAAACCGCTTATCACCACGACCCCGTTCACCACCGTAACCGGGGCCTTGGGGTGGTCCGCGGTTAAGAGATGACGGTCCTTGCGGTGGTCCAAGCGCACTACGAGGTCCCGATGGAGGAACAACGGACGCAGGAGATGCAGGATGACTGGAGCGCATGGGTCCTCCAAATGACCCTTCCGTAGGCTGCGGTTGAAGGTTCTTCAGCCGGTCTGGATGGATTCCAGTGGTGTCAAGCCTTTCAGGGCCAGGTGACGATGGGGCTGCGGGTGCGGACTGGTCAGGACCACCACGCATACCCTGGCGACCTGGCCCAGTCGGCGGTTGGCGTTCATTAGGTGCGTTCGGGGTGGTAGATGGCCCAGGCCCACCTCGTCCACCTCTTCCCGGTGCGTTTCTCATCCGAGGTCCAGATGGGATTTCGGCCGAAGGCTCTGGCTGACGCAAACGTCCGTGGCTCAGGTCAGAGTCTCTGGATTCGTGAGCTTCCATGGAGGGTCGTCCAACCCGTTCGCTGCGAGGTCCGGTCGGTAAATCTTCATGCCGAGAATGTGTTTGTCCAAAGTTACCGGATCGGCGGTCGTCAGGGAAGCGTTCCGGGCGGTTTGGAAGTTCCACCCTTGGAGGTGACAATGTTCTCGATGGCAAAGATCGCCTATCATCCTTTTCTTGTCGCAATGCATCCCCACGTCGATAGCCCTCCCGGTCAGGATGATCGTGTATCATCTCTGCGCGATCAGGGTGCGTCGGTGGACCAGAGCGTGCGACAGGCGGTGCGTCTCGAGCATCCGAAGGGCGCAAACGTCCAGAGCGATCCGGCCACTCCGGTTCTCTTGGAAGGCGCCCCTCGCGGTAAGGAGGACCACGGAACGGCTCGTCCACAGATGGCCTTAGAGGATATTCTCTATCGAGACGACCATAGCCTCTTCCATCACCCACAGGTTGTTCAAACGATCTATTGTAATCGTGCTCACCACCATAGCGGCCGCCTCGAGGGTAATCTGAATGCCTATCGCGTCTGTCGTCTAGAAGGTCCGGTCGTGGTGGCAACCTTCCATCCTCCCGGTAAGGACGATTAGGCGTATGCGCCTGCGAGCGTACATTGTGATTGCTGGGCGGCGCTCGTTCTGGGTCAAGGCGTCGAGGAATGTTCACTTGCCGGCCAGGTTCAGGGCCCTTTGGAGGTGCTTGTGATGCAGCAGGTGCTGGGGAAGCAGGGGCGGGCTGACCAGTGGTTCGAGACTCTACCGTTGGAGTAGCAGGTTTGTCATTAGTTGTTGATTCGGTACCACTTGCCTGCTGCGTCTGAGAAGCAGTCGGTTCAGCTGTGGTAGAGGCTGTGGTATCATCTTGCTCAGACGACTTCTGGCCCAGTGTATCTGTGTCTGTTGTGTTCTTCGACGCAGCATCGGTCATCCTCGCATCCTCAATCTCTCCATCTTCGACTTCCGTTTTTGTAGGTTCTGTCTTGGACGTACCGTGAGGTCTGTGGTTTGAATTGTCAGAAACGCGGGTCAGGGTTGTAAAGGTATGCTTTAGCTTGTATGGACTTACTCGGTGGTTGGTTTGAACTCCGCAGCGGAAGCGTTCAAGCCGGGAGTCGACGATTGAGGCCGTGACGGTAGAGATTTTCCATTTGTATTCTTGTCAGCTGCTTCGCTCTTTGAGGGATTGCCCTTCCCTGCTGCGGGTTGACTAGTTATCATAAAGGCCTGGGGAAGCATCCATTTCTTTTCGCGCCGGTTGAGATCGCCAATCAGAGAGGCTGCGGGAATCTTCACGTCATCTCGCTCGTCGTTCTGGCTGAGATTGTTTACACTGGTTAACATATCACGGCCAATCCAGTTCACGGCAGGGAAGTTTTGCACAACTCCCTTGAGGACACTGATCGCATTGCGAATGTGCATGTATTCGCCGCCATTCAGACAAGTTTTGAGGGCAGCAGCCAGAAGACGGTGCCACTTGTACAAAAGTCGGCGGAAGTCCTCATACTCCAAAAATGTCGTTGGTTTGCCTTCCGGGTCAACAAGCATGGCAAATCCAGGAAGATCCTTCTTAGTTCCGAACGCTTCCTTCTCGTAGACGGCCTTGTCAGCATGCCAGCGGCCAAGATCCCGGATGATCTCGTTAAGGAAGCGGCCAAGGTTATCAGCTTCTCTTGAAGTGCACTGGAAAATCAATGCGGTAAGTCTCTGCTCTCGGAACAATTGGTCTAGAAGACCGACAGTCCGGAAGTTAGGCGTTCCGGATGTATGGAGAAATTTAAGGAGTTTAAAGCAGTAAAATGCGTCAATAGGCGACAAAAGCAATCGGGGCATGAAGCACTGCTCTAGCAAGGCCACATTCAGCGAATCGTGTTTCCCACGCATACCAGCGAACCATCGATCCTTCTCCTTCTGCAACTTCGTCCTTGTCTGGCCATAAGACTTCAGATGGGCCTTGTTCTCCTCCAGTATGCGGTCCTGAAGCTGAGTTATCTGCTTCTTTTCCCGCTCCTTCCTCTGGCTACCAGCCATGCTAATGTCAGATCGGTCGTTACCAATAGCAATAACTTTCTTCTTCTGGCGGTCTATTTCATCTTCATATGCTTTTTGGGGCACGTGAACGTCGTAAAGAGACAGTTGCCAGAAGGTGACATAGAAATGCAGGCCAACCACACCCCATGTTTCAGAAGGAAGAGCCGACTTTACCTGGTCTTGAAGGTCTTGTATAACAGGATTCAGAGGTGATTCGGCAGTAACTGAGGCTGTAGCGATGGCTTGTTCTGTCGTTTTGTTCACAGCATCGGTATCAAGAGGCTTTTCAGACTGATCTTTATCAACATCCATGGCATTCTCAGCAGGCTGCCCGCCATCCTGAGCTGCCGCTTCTCCTTCGTCCGTTTCCATCTTCTCCGCCTCATCTTTAAGCGGAGATTGTTCCTCGCCCTCGCCACTCTTGGCCACCCCTGCTTCCTCTTCCGGTGTCGCTCTTTCACTCTCAGATATCTTCTTGGCCACACTTGGTCGTCGAATCCAAAAAGCTATTTCAGGCTGGACTCCGAACTCACTAATCAGTGACACAAGGTCAGGGACAAACGAATCAAATTCCTCCACTGACATGTTGCTCCGCAGAAGATCCAGATACTGAGCTAGAACTCGGTGGATTTCGTCAAATACATTACCCAGGAGTTTAAGTTCCGAGGAACCCTCTGACTCCTGGAAAATGCAGGTCCAACGTTCCTGGGCAATTGCAATAAGCAACTGACCAGCAAGCTTGGAAACAGTCAACGACTTCATTAGCCGTCTCGATGTAGTTTTCGACTCGTGTCGTCGGTCCAACAGCTGTAAGATTGTTTGGGCTTGAAGGACCTCACCACCTGCCATGGCCTGTATTTGGTTGTCGTTAAAGTTGGTGTCTGTGATGATACCTGCCATAGAGCTGATCATCTGTTCTAGGACGATAAGGTCGGTGGAATTGTTATGTCGAAGCTGTTCAACCACATATTGCAGCACCGGGGTAGGGTCCATTACCGAGTATCGCTTGAAGGTTCTGCCCGCAAAGGTTGACAGGGCATTCAGCCAGCGACTGGTGAGTAGTCCACCCTCTTGAACACGGCTTCTACCCTTCTGGCCAAGCGAATTGATCAAGGCCCATGTCAAAATGTCGTACCCGAGGTTGGTGAAGTAACGTGCACACTCCACGACGACTTCGATGAGATTTTCATAAGATTCAATTTGGCTGATGGCGACATTGATAACAATACCGGGATTTGCATACGCAATCTTAGCCAATGCACGAGCCATCGGCCGTATGTTTGTCTTACTCAGCCGCTTGAGTACGTCCTTCGTTTCCGCCCTTGCTTGGTCAAACGCCGACTTGACGTCCGGAAGGCGAGATGTTTGTCCAGAATACCACTCTGCGTACATGTTGTATCGAGTTTCCCGGGGGAAGAAGCTGACTAGATCGAATACTTCGTTGACAACACCGGGGTTTGCTTTGGTCAAACTAATGGCAGGTACCAACAGGCGCTTGCAGAGGTCCTTCCACCGGGCCCTGTTGTCAGGCGAATCATCTTTAATCAGACTGTCTTTTCCAATCCTTGCAAGTTTTGTCAGTAAACTAGCGTCCTGTCCAATTTTGTGTCCAGAAAGGTTCAGGAATGATGAGCATAGGGCAAAGACATCGTCAACGTTCTGGCACAGAGGGACATTATCGGCCCAGTCGTCCCAGTAGAATCTGTAATCAGTTCCATCATTCGTGTCCTCCTTGTCAAGTTGGGCCCATCGAAGCACTCGCCTCGGAGGTGCTTGGGTTAAGCGAATCTGGCCCTTCGGTATGCCGGACTGGTCTGAACTCAGAATCTGCTTCTGCTCTCTAAGCTCCTCTGCAGAAGGTAGGGGGCGCAGTGAAGCGTATACTTTGTTCAAACAGTGATGGAGAATACGATGGATAAACTCGGGAAGTTCCGGGTAGCCGTCCATAAGCCAGGGAAATTTGCTGAGTATGAAAAGGGACTCGGGAAGAGCGCCAATTGCCAATAAGCTCTTGAGAAGCATCACTTTTTGGTCTGACGGCTCAGGAAGCTCATCTTCCTCGGTCTTAGCGGGAGTTGACCTTTCCGCTTCCTGGTCTTTCCCGGGTGTTGCTGATCGTGTTTCTGATTCCCGAATACGAGGAGTAGGTGTAGGTAGAGTATCATCCGACAAAGCACCAGCCATCATCAACGCATTCACGCCCCCACCAGGCCGCGCCGCTCTCTCCCTTTCCGCTTTTTCTTTCATTTTTTCCTCCTTTAGAAGATCCATAGAATCATCAGGTCTCCAAAGATGGGGGTACAAGTCACGTAGTGAAATGAACCCTACTTTAATCAGCAGGGCCGCCAGATAGATAAGATTATCTGGAAGAATGTCCGACTTGCTGCGAGCACGAGATGAGTAGAAGCGAAGCTTAAATCCGAGAAGCTGTGCCGCCACTCGATTCCCCTTAGGTGGCAATGTCCCTGTCTCCTCGATCCATTTACGTGTTCCAGCCTCCTCTTCCGAGAGGCTATTGCTTTCAGGGAGTATCCGTTTCAGCTCCTCCCCAGATACTGGTTTACGACCAATCTCGAAGAAGGCCCGGATTCCAATCTCTTTGACTCGTTTCCAGAATTCCCTATCTCGATGTTGGTTCGTGTGCATCAATCCGGCTCGTTCTTCGTCTGTCGTTACCCATCCCGCAGAGCCTGGTAGTGCCCAGTTTGGAAGCCCGGAATCACGGTTATCGCCATCAACACCGCGGAAAGCATCCTCCTTGGGCCACCATGAGCTAGCTCTTAATAGCTTCACAAAGAATCGATATTGCTTAACGAGTACGGCAGCGAAAACATCTAACGTGACGTCAAGTACGCGACCGACATCCATATCGAACGCGCCGATCATTGCCTTCACCCTCTCGAAGGTATCCTCAACGACTTCGCTCGACGGAGGCTCATTGTTGCTGGTTGTGAAGAGCTCGGTGAGAAGCTTTGAATACCCCTCGGATTCTTCACGCAATAGGTTATAGTTAGACTGCCGGTAAAGCAGATTGGTCTGCTTCCGAATTCCCATACGGGCGAATGTATCACGGACAAGGCCCAGCGACTGAAGAAGTGGTGTATCGAGCTGCAGGCGCATAAGAGCGGCGTTGATCCCAGTCGAAAATACCAATGGCTTCAAGGCAGGGTTCGTTGTGTCGGAATCGGTCACGATAGACAACGTGTCCAAGAATAGAGAGCGGGTATCAAGGAGGGCTGTCGTCTGTCCTTCACTATCCATATCGATATCTTCCGCAGCAACATCTTCTCCTATGATATCTTTAACGACCGCTCCAGCATCCGTCGGCGACAGCCGTCCGTAAAAGGCGGCCCGAATCACCTCCTGATATATCGCGGCCAACTTTGCGATATCCTGCTCATTCTTTGCATGTAGTCCATCCTCAACAAGGTTTTGTTTCCCCGTAGAGGACCATGTTTCAACCACAGTATCGCTCACGTACTCATAATCGAATGGGGGAGGGGGTACTGCAGGTTTGACAGGAGGAACATGCGATATCTGGGGTTGCGGTGTGGGCGGTGGGTGTGGCTGTGATTGTGAAGGAGCCGGCGAAGGTGATGGGGGAGGTTGGGGTTGATTCATCGCTGAGGAGGCGCCGTTGGCCTGATGCTGATCCGGAGCTTCTTTCGCCGGTGTTGTGTTTGGAGGCGACATAGCAGTATCCTTCCGACCGCCAGCCTGGTTCTGGTTATCGTTGCTAGGTCTCCGTCCAATGTTATTCCTTCCCCCTCGATTATTCTGTCGGCGCCCTCTTCCGCGAGCATCGGAGTGATCGCGAGGTAGGTTGTGTTGCGCCATGTTTAGGTTACTCGGTCGGTGAGGAGAGGGCCGTTGGCCGTCGTTTACTGAATCACTAGACCAAGTTCTTTCGCCTCTTTTTCTTTTTCCTCCGCCACCTGGAGCCATGACAGCTTAATCAAAGCTACCTTGGATTGCTCAGGCAGAGAACCGGAATGTTTCCGACAGGTCGCAAGTCATGAGCGGAGCCTGGGTTTGACTTTGTCAGCGTGTACCACAATTAAGATGAAGGTTGGAGCAATTAGGCATGGAAGGTAAAAGCAGTGGGAATGGAATAACCTGCTGTGGAAATGACATGTGACGGAATCTCGAGCGTAAGATTGCCCTGTTCCGAGACAAAGGTGTCTTGAGTTATGGACTCGGTGATTGACGATAATAAAGAGGATTGCACCGCGAGTGTCGCGCTTGGGTCGCTTGTGTTACCCGCGCTCGGCGCTAAGCTTTTTGCGGTCTCGGCTCAATGTTTTTTCACTCCAACCTCATGCCAGTTATTCAGACTTAAAGAAAAAAGAAAAAGAGGAAGAGGCAATACTTTCTATGATATGTTGCAATCTAACGATCTGAAGAATCTTGAAATTTCGACTTAGTCAAGGTAACGAACGATCTATTAGCATATTAAAGTATATATAGTGATGAGTCGCGGAATGATGTACTGGTTGATAATATATACGAACTTAAGAGTGCTGTTTTCAGAGTATCAACAGGACACCCTTAGAAATGCCACCGTAATGGCCATGTCTGTTTAGCGAATGGTCTCCTATGTATATGATATAAAAGCCTCGCCAAAGCACTGTAACACCTGCTTGAGCATTCTCAGTGATGCTAGGGGGGTTTTCTATATATGGCCAGAGCTGATCTACAATACACTAATTAAATGTGCAACCACATAGGAAACATAATACACATGCATCAGGGAATCGTTAGTGAATTCATTCCATCATTATACGCTAGTAACATTACAATCTTGCGCCGTGCTCTACAGCAAACCCAAGTTCTTAGCCTCAATGTCCACGATCTCGGGAATCAGCTCCTTCAGACTAGGCTTGCTTGGGGACCATCCAAACAACTTTCTGGCACGAAGTGCATGGCCTCTTGAGCTGCTTCCCCAAGCATACAGCCCGAACTCATTCAGCTCTGAGACTTGCGCATCCGGCAGAGATTCAACATCAGGAGATGGAATCAGCTTCTTCTCATAGGCGACTCTAGCCACTTCACGCTGGATGTCACCCCAGACAAATTGTCCGTTCTCGGCAAGATAGTAGCCCTTATCGTTCCAGGTGGCCTTTCCACCACCGGCGGCGGCAGCGTCTGCCAAAGCACCATATACGTCACTGAGGTCCTGGACGTGGACCTGATGCCAGATGTTCTTGCCTTCGCCCACCAAGAATCCCTTCTTTCTCTTCAACACAGCAGCGGCGAGCCAGTATGCCTGAACGCTCTTCTGGTTGCCAGGTCCACGGCCGGGACCGTAGATAGTGGGAGGGCAGACGATGGCGGTCTTCACACTTTCGGGGTTCCGCTGGCTAGCCTCGATAATGATCTTGTCAACGTTGCGGTGCAAAGAGTCGTCGGGGAGGTTAAGGAGTTCATCAACGCCTTCCCAGTCGTTGTGCTCCTTAGAACGGTAAAAGCCCCAGGTGTTGGTGCGGAAATCCTCAACAGTCAGAATTCCAGTGCCAGAGGTGTGAATCACCCACACCGGCTTCTCAGGAGTGTGGTGGGCGGCACCCTTTGCGATTGCCTCGGCCGATGCTACATGGTCACAGTCGGCACAATCTAAGTGGCACTGTTAGTTACGCAAGGTCGCACACAACGCATTTAATGCTGGAAATTGTATAGATAGGTACTCACGGAGTACGATATCGGCGTTCTTGACTTCCTCTTCAATAATGTCGGACGAGTCAAGATCTCCCAGCACGATCCTCACATTGGGGTATTTGCTAGTAACCTGGGCTGCCTTGTCCTTGCTCCGAACCAAAAGGGAGTAGTGCCAGTCGGGGTGTGCCTGGTGCACGGTGGAAAAGACATCTCCGCCGATGTAACCGGTGGCACCGGTGCTAGAGACAAATTAGACACACATGAGCAATCGATTCGATGCTAGTTACTGGAGGTAAATTTACCTACAGGAAGACCTTAGGGGGAGCCATTCTCTTAAAGGTAAGTAAGTGTTGCTCACAAGCTTTCAAACGAGGTCGATATAATGAGGGGTAACAAGGAGGGGCATCTTGAGGTTTTTATAGCTTTGCTGAGAATACGTAATAACCACAGCTCAAGCTGTCGGGATGCTTTGAAATCAAAAAAGTGGAATGATGGATCCACAGGGTTCAAGACGTGCAATCAGAATTAAGTGCAGGGTGCCAGGGTGGGGTTGAAATGGGGATTTGAGGTCATGGACCCAAAACATGGACTGCGACAAAGTTCCACATGGAGTTCGGGAAAAGAAAAGAAAGGTCGATTCGGCATTCGCTACCACTTCGGGAATCGTGCGTCTAAGTATGAATACGATGTGCCAACAACACAGTATCGTACCTACGTCTTCTCAATCGTAATCAATGTGTGTGAATCTAGGCGGGCTTCCGATCTTAACTCAAGCTGAGTTCCCATATATACTAAGGCAAGAGTGTCCTGTAGAGACTGCAACACTAAACTATACAAAGTTTAGTCAGCTATAAGAAGAGAGTAATCCTCAGCAATTAAAATGAGATTATGGTCCTCTATATCCTAGGATTCAAATAATGTAAACATAAGATGACATCTTGTCACCTACCTACTCCACCACAATATAGTAAGTGAATAAATATCATTTTATGAGGCTCGAGGGTTCTATTTCGTTATGAATCATGTTCCATAATCCGAGGTAGTGAATCTGATTCGATAGCGCTATCATTATAACAGACAATATGAAGGCATTCGATTTCAAGAAAAATGAATAAAACAACGGTCATTAGCGCTTACATCTCCCAGCCCGACTAAAACAGTATAGAAGCTTATTCTTATCCTTAGTAGGCTAGCAACAGAAGTCCGGCTATAGCTGCGAGATCACGTACTATAGAATTGCACTAAGGCTCGCTCTCTTTTGAATCTCGCAAAAGACTGTCATGGCTCCCCCGCCCTACTACTTAGGACCCTATCACAGGGTAACGCATTTACAAGCTAATTGCACAAGGTCCCTTCAAACATATACCTCGCCATATGACCATTTCCGATATCCCCGTGGATGTCCGTTTCTACAACTCTAAGCAGAAATCGTCGAAGGTTGCACGCTGCGTTATATTGAAACACTATGATATCAAAAACACATCCCTCTCTGACTTGCGAAACGCTTTGGCCACAAAGCGTGGCGTTTAGCTTAGCATGTAAGTAGGAGTTGCGAGAGTTCTATGCAAGTGGGCCGTTGATAGGTTCGACTTTCAGTGTGGGCAGTCCATTCTGCAGTCCTAATGAAGCTGTAGCCAACTATGCCACCTCCTTCTCTGACTACTTGGACATTTTTTCAAGTCACTCAGAGGTCAGTCATGAGTCATGACTCAAGCCCAAGAAAATTAGTGCACATCGGATAGTTGACAGCACTGCTGAACTACTCGACTCGAATCCCCATCAGGTCACAACGGTGTAGAGATTAAACGGAGGATAGCAAAGACTTCAGATCCCACGCTTTACCACCGCGAACGACTCATGGGCTGATGTCTTTAAAACTCATACGCTGGCACCAAAAGCGATGGTTCGCAGTCCCTTTTTCTTTATCGAGGCTCAAGGCTGTCGGTACACATTAAATTTTACTGAGTAATTATCAACCTATGTCTGATATCCGATACGTTACGACAGGGAGGGAGGGCATTACTGCTACAATCTTTTACATTATTCGGAATCCTTGAATTGAGTATTCACTGGTAAACGATCTACTTAGATTAATTAATACTAAGACTTTAGATAAGGGGAAGAAGAGAGCTGAAAATGAACAGTCTACATAGTTTTTTTAATAAAGGACTAAGTCTGGATTTCAGAGAGATTAATCGACTAATATAGTGTGATCGTAACTACACCAGGGAACTACTCCCTATAGGATTACCCTACGGGGCTCCCCTATTGCAGCAGATACCCCCTAAACAAGTGCACTACGGGCTTAACCCTACACTGCTTAGCTACCCTGTGTATGTAAGGACGTAGCGACCCCTACCATCTGTGGTAGGTCGATAACTCTCTACCTCTCATAGCATACTGCTACTTTTAATCTCAATAGTATATTGTATTTATAATTGAAATAGTAATCTCCTTTTTTCTTTTTGTAAATCGATCTACTCTGTTTCCTCCCTTAGCTCTTCCTTGTCCAACAGTCCATAGACTGTAGATAACCTTCAACCTATAATACCCTACATTAAGATAAAGTGGCGCATTGCTAATGGCGCCTCAACTAATGCCTGAAATAACTGAATAGCAAGGGTTTACTAATGACTGCTAAGATAAGCTTGATTCTTCAAGCGTGTTACTACATAAGTCGCTTATCAAGAGTAACAATTCAATATATAGGGTCAAGCTAACTATAAGTCAAGGGAACTATAAAGCAGATTCTTATACTACCTTATAGCTAACTACAATGAACCCCTCCTCTCTCTTAAACTGCTCACAGGCTAGGCTACCTAGTCCCTACCCATATATCACTCCTAAATAGATTATATATGACTGAAAACCGATCTATAATACAATAGCCAAATAACGGCGAAGCAATAGCTAATTGGTCACAAAACACTCACACGTAGTAGTTTCACCCAAATAAGGCGTCCACTTTCGACCACTAGTGGTCTTGATTGCATTGAATGGCCAAGCCTCCCGAATTAAATGTTAATCCTGGACCCACACCCTTATCCAAACGGCGACTGGTGAATCCAGTTGCAAGTTAATAGAACAACGTCTCCATACAAAGCTGCCCGTCTATAGTATGCTATATTGTTACTATTTTATCCAAAGTTGTCTACTAGATATATTCATCTGGTATAGACATCTCCACCCTCCACCTTTACCAAGCTCTTCGTGGCCAGCACGGCTGATACATCATTACCAAACAACCCTTGTGAAACGGTTCGTCTTGCTAATCATGGATGGGAAGTACAGGAAAGAGTGACTTTGTGCTTCCCAGTGACTAGTCTGCGGCTTTACGGGTTACTTTTTTGCTTCTATAAGACCCTGTGGGCTGGCCGCCAAGGGTTTATTGATTATAGTCTCAGCCCAAAGCCCCGCCTATAGGCTAGCTCATGTCGAGGTTAGAATGTAAAGCAGAAGTCATCGGGTCTTCATTCAGAATATTCTCCTTTTAAACAGCCTTGATATTCGATCCTTGAAATCAGTGTAGATTTCGTAGAGTCCGTTCTATCTATCACCCCACTCTACAACTGAGGTATGCCACGTATGCCGTTCGGCTGAGCACACTCCGTATCCTCCGTAGTTATATGCAGCACGAGTCATTGACTTACCCCACTATTCAGCGAAGATGAGAGAGCCACATCCGCATTTCCCCACAATATCTCAAATGGTTTTCCAGCCAAATCCAATTAAGTTTGATATACCTCTCGCTTCAGTCGCTTCAGGTCCGCCACTATAGAGAAATCCACACTAGCACTGGGACAGAGGTTAGTACTGTGAAGAATGGCGTACCAGAATACATGCATCCTATTATATCTAAGGAAATTTTTGTGCAGTGTGGCAAGCTGATAAAGTGGGGGCAAGTACATTTATACCATGGAAGGAACTCAGATTTCGGTAGGATGGCTGTAACTGAATATTGGGGTGTGTTTATTCTTGATATTCAAATCAACTGGGGCAATACATATACCCATGATCTTAAGAAGCAATTAGTATATCAATGATACTGGTATACCGCTTTCTGTAATCAATGACATTACCATCAACTATCACTTTGATTTTGTAATCTTCCTTGTGTTGTGTGCTTTATTAGGCCACATTTGACTACTATAGTAGCGTGCGAAAAGATCATGCTGATCTCTGTCAAAGCGGCTGTATATCATTTCCTTTTTCACAAAGCTTGCCAGCTGGATACGAGATACAATGGGACCACCCTTGGCTCACTGGTTCCGATAGCTCCGCTGACGATCTATAGGTGACCCTTTGGCGCCATATCTCAGTTGATGATGGGAGTGGGGCCTAGGAAAATGGCGCACTGAAGATGCACGGCCTCTGAAAGGGTAAAAGGCAGTGTTAAGATGATGCTGAACCAAGCCAATCAAAGCGTATACTGAATACAAAACCCGGTGACTGGAATGAAATAGCTTTTTGGCTTTGAGGCTGGTCGACCTCTGGGGTGACCTGAACGTAACTGAATAGGTATGTAGTGAGATTAATCGGTTAGACAATCAGGTCAACTCATATTCAGATAGCTACGTTTAAGAACTCCAATTCTATTATAATTTGTTTCATACAATGATAATAATACCAATAGCTAAAGTAATTGGCGGGCTGATATTGAGAGATGAGGATATGCCAGTAGCCCTTCATTCTGACACTGCCGACGTTAGTTGCAGCGATAGCCATAGACATGCTGAATGACACGTCAATCTGAGGGGTAAGCTAGTATTATCTGGAGCCAATTATTTGCTGGTATGGAGTTTAGCCATTGGCAATCCTCAGGCGTCCTGTAGTGGGTCTATTTGATTGAAGCTCGCTCTAACAGCTGAAACTTAGCGGATAGAACACTGTGACATCATGTATACAGTTCAGCTGAGTACATCTGAGGCTGAAGAACATATCGTGGACAGCTCTCCTCCTATCGAATAATTTCTCGCGGGGCTCAGATGGCGTCATTAAGCCAGCTGTACAAGAGCCACGACATCAGCTGAGAGGAGGATAAAGGTATATAAGGGCTCTTCGTGTCCCGTAAATTTCCCTTCATTTCCAGGCAGAATTACTATTGCTTTCACCTTCATCTCATACTGCATATCAGCTCCCAATCTATCATCATGTCTTTCCTCGAGTCTTCCCGCAACATCAGAATCGAAAACGTGGAGAATGCAACCTGGCTCTTTTGCGAAGCCCAGGCAGAGGATGGCACATGGCAGCCGGCCGATATCAACCTCGATGAGGTGATCGGCAACGATGATGGTTTGTGTCCTACCTTCACATCTGATGAAGAAGGCTGACACTCTGGAAAGGCTGGTTTAGCCGTAACACCGCTGGATTTACCGAGAGCGCTGAAGAAATCTTCTTTCAAGACGGCTGGCTTACAGCCAACTTGCCCAGGCGTGATGGTAGTTACCGTGATCGTCAGGGTATCGACCTCGGCCTCCACATTACCAACGTTAACGGTAACCTGGAGTGGTATGTAAGTATTAAGAATCATCACCCGGGTTCCTTGGACAGTCGCTGATTTCTACTCAGGGACAATAAATGCATCAACCTCGATGCATACAGATATGCGAGATTGTTAGATGAATCAAATGAATGGTCTCTAAAACGGACATCCCACCGTAGCTCAATGCTAACCGTATCAAGTTATTGAAACGTAGTAACCGCAGCTGAATTGTAGCATCAGTAATGCAGTTGTGTGTAGATTCGATACTGCTGTAATAATCCGGAAGAGAGTCTAGTGAGAAAGCGATCAATTTCGAGGATGGACTGGTCAGAGTCAGTTTGGGAGGAGTGAAAATGCCCCTCAGGCAGCCACCCAACGACAGGACACTGACCCCAACGAACAACGGAACTCGCCTCTCTGGCACGCTAGGACCTAAGACTAAGACCATCTCCCTCTATCAGGCATGCATGCCTGACGCCTATCATAGTCCGTCGAGCCATCCGATCCCCCCACCCCCAGCCATAGTCCTCAGGTATCTAAATGACTATATTCTTGCAGTAACGCCTCTACTTCCCAGAGCCTTCGTGATAAGAAGATAAGATATGTCGCAAAAGGTTGCTCTGGAGGCGTTCAAAGTCTCATATAAACATAATTTGGTTAATACAGGTATGCGCATATGCCTATATTGAAAGTATTAATTCTCATCCAAATTGCAGATAGCAAGCCCGACAATATCCTCTCAAAGTATGACCACTGGTAGTGAATTATACGCTTTAAGAATATCTACCTGGTAGACCGTGGAAGTATGGTGTCTGCCAATTCAGCATATACTAAATATGGCGACTTGATTGGAACACCTATATAGAGGAGCCTTGAAGCATATCTTTAACTTGACTGGTAGCGGGGCCGCCAGTAACGGGTATATGGTTGTTTGGCACAATCCTTGAAAAGTATCATATAGCCTTTGAGAAGATGAAAAAAGAAAGAAAGAAAAAAAAAGAGGCTCATAGATAGTGAAAGCATTGAATCGGCGATATTCGGCTACAGCAGAAAGCATAATGAGTGAAAAATTCGCACGAGGATGTATCCTCCTTTGCCGCAAGTAAGCTGCAACCCTAGACCAAAACTCGCCTTTGTCCGCATTGCTTTACAACTATGTGCAGCCCTGGTGAATGGTGCCCTTGATACTATCGGTCCTTTCCAGAATTGGAGTGTCATCAAAGCTAGAGCTTACTTAGTTTCGTATCCCCCTTTTTCTAGATCGCAGCCCATTGTCCCTCATGAAATTTTGGCTATAGCGAGAGGATATACTTGCCTTCATTAACAAGATACCGGGTTATGAGTATGTCCAAGAACACTTGACGGCTGCGCAAATGTAACCCAAAGAAGTGGGCTAGCAGAGAAGAACTAAGAAGTGAATATCTGATCCTGTTACATGTCTCCAAACTCAGGGGGGGACTGCGTCCCGTGTTTCTTTGTCTTTCTCAAGATACTATACGTAGATATGGTTTCCTTATCCGATCAGCCTTGAAGAAGTTTGTGGTGCCAAGCCCTAATGCATGATCCAGAATCCATTCATTATTTCATACATCAAATCCGTAGCAGCCAATCAAGAGAACCAAACATGAGTATGGGACCCTCCCAGTCGCGCCCCAGACCTCAATATATATCATTACAACCTCTTACTATTGTCTTCAGCACAGATTCCTTTTACGACAATGGGCTCTCCCCCCGAAGATCGTAGAACAATAGCCCAGCAAACCCTTCAACACAAAGAATTTATACGAGCTACTCACCCCCGATCGCATCCTCTCAAAGGCCTCACCAAATCTTTGTATCACCACTGAATCCACCTCGAGCGCCTGCAAAGACGAAACAGAAAAGGCTAGGGGGTGTACGACCGCGAAACAAAGAAAAAAAAAATGGAAGCCACCACCTTAACTGGCACCTGCGCCTGCGAGCACATAACCTACACAGCGAGCGTCCTGCCCACGAAGCTCACAAACTGCCACTGCACAACCTGCCGCAAACAATCCGGCGGACCCTACCAGACCTGGGCACTCTTTTCTGCGACGAGCATCACCTGGACCCACGAGGAGCAGACAAAACGACGATCTAGCGATTGCGCTACGCGCGGGTTCTGTCCCCAGTGTGGATCGAGTATCAGTATGGTGTATGACTCGGAGCCGAGCGGATTGTACATTGCCGCGGGTACAATCGATGATTTCGACAGGGTGGTTCCGAAGCCCTGTGCACATTTCTTTGTGAAGGAGAAGGCAGCGTGGTTCCAGTTACCGAATGATGGGTTTGTGAGGTTTAGTGATGGAGTTACTCGAGGAAGGCGTTATTGACATGGATTGCTGGACGTGGAGTTGTTGGATATTGTACATGGAGTTCCGGCGGATTAGGGCATGTTTTGAGTGTATATATACCTATTTGTTTATCATATGGAGATGCGGATTCATCCACTACGCAGGTCACAGAGATGGCAGAACATCATAAACAGATCCGAGAGAAATCTCGAGCGCAAATACAACGACAAAAAGGGAGAAAGCACATCGAACATCATCGAACGCAATTTGAGGCTGAAACAATCTTCGTCCCGGACTCAACGGGTTGATCACTTAAAAAGGAACGGCGGTCACAGGGGAATCTCACAATCATGAATATCCGTAATTTACAGGAGAATTTCAGAAGGTGCTAGTCGCTAGCCGGCTCGCCGCGTTGCGGGCATCCAGTCGATCCTCATCATCTTCCTCGACAACGGAACTGACGCCACTAGGGGACCGCAACCTTCCCTTGCCCTGCCCATTCACCTCTTCATCGGCCTCCGAAGTAGGCGAGGCCAAACTGCCACTCATGCTGCGCCCAAGGCCTTCGCTGCGACGAGGGATACCGCTCCACGCGTCGCCCTTGGGTCCCTGACTTGAACCGAGGTTGGGCCGCCGCACTGTCGGGTGTGATTCACGGCCCAGTCGGCTCAGCCCCCCAGACGAATCGATTGCCCGGATATCTGGTCGAACACTCTCCAGGGTTGCCAGGGTACGGCGCTCGGCATCAATCTGACGCAGTGTGTACTCACGTAGGCTGGCCAAGAGGTCACTTGTGGTCCGGTCGAACCAGCGACGCTTCTCCTGAAGTAGGTTCGACGTTACCCGGTGTGTCCGCTTTGTAAGGTAGTCTTCATGGCTCTGAGCCTCGTCCAGAGCATTGATTGCTTCATCGACTTTATCGGGACGAACAGAAGAGCTGACTTTCAGCCGGTCTGCTGCAGCGCGCTTGCTGCGGGTGACTTGTTGAGCTTGAATCAAATCTCGAAGCAAAATGTGGCGGTTAGTAAGGGTCTCCTTGACAATAAAAGCGTCGGACGAGTGATAATTCAGCGGCTCCCCAATGGTCGTCGCCTCTGCGGTAGCCTGGACTGCGTGATAATCCCCAACTGTCTGAACGACCTTTCCCAATTTCCGGTAAGCATTGGCCAGGCCCGGGTGCGTCTCTTGTACATGCATCTGCCCCAGCTTTACGCCAAAGTCTGATTCGGCAAGGCCGAGCCCTAAAGTACTTTATTAGTTGGCGTCATTACACCACAGCGCTCCCGCTCACGTACCTCGTCGGCCCTTGACCACGCGGTCCACTTTGTGACTAGCATCCATGCTTCCTAGATAGAACATCTTCACTACAGGTCGCGCGTTCTGTAGTTCAGGCGTATCATCCGGGGGCGGTGCGAACTGCTTCAAGACCTTTCTCCGCATACCTGTCGCAGGCTGCTTCATCCGAACAACCGGACTATAACCGAAATCGCTCTCAACGAATAGAACAACTTCATCATCCTGCATCAGAACCTCATTACCCAAGACGGTGTTCAGCCATTTCTGCATGGACGCCTTCACGCGAATCTCATCCTCTTCAGTTCCTGCGCCGGCGGGGGTCAATGGAGGAGGCACCGCAGGAACCATCGCCTCGGGGTTCGCCGACATCAAATGTTCGGCGAGCTTAGTAAATTCTGCATGGGTACGGCGGACATCGCGATATTGAGTGGTTCTAAATTTGGGAATATTGGTCTGTGCATAGGGAAGTTAGTTGCGATTACGGTGGACAACCATCGAATAAGGAGCTTGCTCACGTGAACATCAAAACGCAGAACGGGATCCTTTTTGCCTGTCCTCTCTAAGCTCGTAATCTTCGCCTGAATTTTGTATAGAGGCGCTGGTCTGGCATGCTGTCTGGCCCCAGTTTGATACCTAGCGGGGATCTGAGACTGAGGTTGCTGGGCATATTGTTGCTGTTGCGCGGCATACTGTGATTGCTCATTATGGTAATCTGGATCGCCTAGCTGTGCGCTTTGTAGTCTTTCCGAGAGGTCGGGTGACTCGGTCTGTTCCTCCCCGGTAGGCAGAGCACTTTCGGGCTGGGATTCCCTGTCGGTATCGTACGGAGGTGGAGCTAACGGATCGGAAAGAATGTCGTTGGTACTCGAGGGAGGAAACGCGGTTTGGGTAGGCCGGGGGGAAGCCCAAGGAGAGGTACCTGCGGGGTGGTCGGGGTCCTGCGATATAGCGGAGTAGTCCATGGCTATCTGGCTTTGCTGGGGTGGATGGAGAATAGTATGGCTCCGACGGGGACCACGTCTGCACCGCAGACACACAAATATTAGCGACACATTTTCGTAATGTTACCGTGACGAGTTTATGAGACCTACCTGTATCCCCTCAGAAAAACAATTGAGAGCCGCAGGGTACTGTGACGGGGAAATTAAGGATGCGGGAGTGTGGAGTGGGAGGCAGAAGGAATATGGAATGTCAACCCGAAGAGACAGACCAGCCGAAAGGTTACGTCGTTGCTGCCTCCGACACCTGATTGGCCAGGCATCCACATCAGTGACATCCGACATTTGGAGAACTTCATTTTTCCAGCTGTACCTACGCAGACGTCTCTGAAGGGCCCCACTTGTTAGTTTCTTGCTTGTAATATAACATGCGTACAAGCGGATAAACTGTGCCAATCGATAATCAGGTGTTACAGGGGGAATTGCGATCATGGTCGCGGCTCCTCTCTTGCGCGCTCACCAAGCAGCGCGACTCCAATCAATGTCTATCAGCCGGCTCGGGCTCAATCCACATGTAATCAAAAGTGCCGGACGGTTACACCTGCTTCGGGGTAGTGGATTCTCAACTTCTACTTCCAAATGGCAAGCGGAGGTCCTCGATCGAACCAGAAACATTGGTATCATCGCCCACATCGATGCGGGCAAGACTACCACTACAGAGCGTATGCTCTATTACAGCGGATTTACAAGAAGGATTGGAGACGTGGATGAAGGCTCCACGGTCACCGACTTCCTTCCGGCTGAGCGCGCGCGAGGAATCACTATCCAATCTGCCGCTATTACCTTCCATTGGCCACCTCAAACTGCCGGTGATGGAAATACATCGCCGCAGGAGCCACAAACGCCAAGGTCTGCGTCATCTCATACCGTGAACCTCATTGACACCCCTGGACACGCGGACTTCACTTT